AAGCTGGAAAAATATGAAGGTTAATTAATTTACAAATCATGAGGTAAAGTTATTTTATTTAACTAGTGCATTATAAGTGTATTTATTTGTGTTTTTTTTAACAAATTTCTGCTTTTATTTCTAATTATGTCAGTTTCAGTCCTCCACAGAAATTACACCATTATCTTAAACATTTAACCACATTGAACATTGGCAGTGCAAAGTCCTTACAACTAGTAACTGTCTCTCAAAAACAGTCCAATAAGTGCAAAAAGTTCAGTGTTTTAACCATTTCACAACGGAAACCCTGAGAGCGAGGTTTTTCCACAAGTTCAGCATAATGCTAAATATTTTTGTGCATAACCATTAGTATTTCAACATTTAGTGCATAGAACAAACTGAACAAATTCTTAAAGGAACTCCTATGTAAGAAAACAAAACTGAAATCATACCAGATGTTACAGTTTGTACCTCAGGATTCTGTTTCTCAAACCATGTACTCGAGCTGAGGCCTGGTCTGGTTTGATCTTCATCACCACTCTGAAGAAATTCAAACGAATACTTCATGTCATCTGGATACTTGAGATTGACACAGTAGATGACACCCATAAGCATAGCAAAGCCAAGTGTCACATCTTTAATGTTGTGAAGCACAATGGTCTCCTCCACCACAAGTGCCACATCGAAGACCTCGTGTGGAACGGTCCTCTGTTCACCACCTTCACAGGCAATCAGGAGACCAACCTGCATCCCCTTCATGGCATCATGCAGAATATCAGTGTAAGCCTTAAAAAAGAAGAAATAATTAATGAACTTTGTGTGCATGTAAAGAATGCAAATATTCAAATCTTTACACTGCAATTTTTTTATACTGTTCTATTGTGAGGTTTAACATTCTGCAAGTTTTGATACTTTAGGGGTAATTAAACTTTTAAAGTGGGGTTGATGCACTTCTGTCCAGCCAGTGAACAATGTAACACACTCCCAGTTTGTCAAAGCATAGAGCATAATGGCAATGAAACAGGGCAACAAACACTGTTGTGGATGAGGCCAACATCAAGAGGCACTAGATGTAAAATAAGCCCGCCTGAAAAAAAAGCAAGTGTGTACACCATATTCTAATTATTTTCAGCACTTTACTTTGTCGTCAGGCAGACCTTTTTACAAACTTTTTTCATCCACAGAACTTGTGCTCATGTGCATGAAAATACATGCAGATTAAAAACTACCATGGTGAAGCGCTGAAATTATCCTAAAAATGTAGCACACCAGTAGTGTTTCCATCCAATTGTAATGCAAATTTTGATGAAATTTGTAAAATTGCAAAAGGGGAAAAAAAATGCAAATATGACATGTTTCCATCAACTAGCTTTGAGCAAATCAACCAGGCTACACAAAGTGCAATTACGTCTGAAGTTGAAGTTAAGCATGGTGGTGGTAAACAGAAAGTAAAGTCTCCAACAGGGACTATGTTTTTGCAAACACAAGTGCTACATTTTTTTTTCCAAAAATGATAAATAAAGAGGAATAGGCAAATATGTAAACAGTTTTGTAATACAAATTTATTAGTCTTACATCACACATCCTGATGACAGCTGATGGATCATCACCTGATATGTAGTGGGGCAAACCAAGCAGAGCAGCAGCTCTTCTCCTTTCATTGGTGTCCTGCAAGAGAGGACGTACAGCAAGATGAATATATTTTAAATCAAAAATATCAAATGATGCCTCGTTTTCTAGCCGTCTGCAGTTCAGCTTACATCTTTCGCAAGGCAGTCCAATATGTCTTTGAGTAGCTGCTTTTTTCCAGATTTGGDTGCTGCTTTGTAGACCTCCAGGAGTCTTGGAACCAGGCCATCAAGTCCATCAACAAAAGACTCCACAAGGTCTGTGGTGATGATTCTTGTAAATTCAGCCCTAATCTGAGGTGACAGAATATAAAACGTCTCTCAATAGGACACAGCACACATGGTCTTAAATCATTAAACTTCTTGGAACTAATACAGTTGTGTGATTACCTGTTTCTCATGGAACAGAGCTGGCCATCGGGAGATAAGCTCTGTGATGTGTGGTTCATCTCCAACAATCTCTTTCCTTCGCTGAGAGAATGTAGAAACCATCAGATCCTCAAGTAGCTGGTGATTTGGGTCTCTCTTCAGCATTTCAACCTCCATTGTCTTCACTTCCATGTTTTCAGGACTCTGTCCTTCAGGTGGATCAGGACAATAGTTTACCTCCCCCTTCTTTGACTTTTTGACAGTTTCCCCTTTTGAACGTCCAGATTTTCGTTTGCTTATGACCACTTCAGGGCATCCTGCTGCACTCAGTTTTTGCCTGTAGTTTCCCATTTTAAATTTCAGGCTGTGAAGCCATGAGTACATCCCTTGTCGGACCCTGGTTCTCGCGGACAGGGATGCTTTTCCACCAGTGCTTTGGCCACATTTTCATAGTGTTGCCTTTCAGGATAAGCACTAATCTTTGACATACGGTCTGCAAGTGTGTCAAGGATATCAGTCTTCAAACTTTTAGAAATCACTGTCACAGATTCATCCTTGGCATATCTACAATTTGCTTCTTTCAGTTGCAGCTCCACATCATGCAAAAACTTTGGAATCGGGAAGGGTCAGGCCATTTGACAGAATCCGCAGTACTTGGAAAAGAGAGGCTGCCAGTATCCAGTGTAGAATCGGAGGAGTCATTATCTGTGAACAATACTTTCAAAGTTGCACGATCCACAGGAAGGTCTCTGATGTTGGTCAGGTTGCACAACTGATTATTGAAATCAGGATCCTCAAACTGCAAAATGAATCCTCCTCTTAGAGCAAGGTTGGTTCGCAACACCTGGTACAGTTCCTCGACACTTGAGGGGATGTCTTCAACTGAAAGACACCTGATTTCATTTTCTGACACTATGACGCGAAGCAGCAATGTAGACAACTTTGACCTGAAAAACAAAAAAAGAAAAGAAAAGGTGCACATTAAGAATAAATGACAAGACACTACATTCATAAGAGATGAGACAAAATATTGGGTTAATAAGACAATCGCCACTGACAAAATGGGGGTTGCAACTTGACAGTACAAAAAAAGTATTTGTTTATCTTATCAATTTAACAACTTTTTACTCAATATAACAATGAACTTACTAAAATAAATATGATGGAAAAAAAATAACATTTAAGATAATCAGCAACAGCAGTGTGGGGCAAGGAAAATCTCTGAAATTCAAAGATTTAATKGTGACTGTAATAAACTAAAATCTAACAGCACTGTCATCCTGTTTTAATTCCATCTTCAACGTAAGTTGTCAAAAACGGTGGCAGTGTCATGTTTTGGCTGCGCCAGTTGGTTCTCAGCTGCTTGTCACCCACAGCCTGCTCTCCAGCTCAGGATGGGAGACTGGTAATGAAGTGATTCAACAAAATTTGCTGTCTTCCTTAGTTTTTTTCCACAGTGCCACAAGACAAAGTTTGAGACTTTGTGCTATATAAACAAAACTGAAGTGAAACTGGATTGAATTACTGACATCAAAATTTGTATTTTTGTCATAAAATGAAAAATGTAAAAGATATTGTTCCATCAAAAAAATCTCAATTGTAACATCAGTCAAAATTCTCAAATAATTTTCTAAATTTTTCATTCCTCATTTCAGTGTGTAATTACTTACGGCAGTTTTATTTTAGTAAGAAAGTCTTGGGAGTGACCAGAAGACGGCCTCGAATGAAGTATGACACCAGTGGCAAGTAGTCGTTGAGATCCTCTGGTTTCACCAACAGACACTCAGGAGGGTTTTTCTTCACAAGATGGTAACTCCGTAGATACTCCACGTAGTGCGATGTAAAAGGTTCTATAATGAAGCAAACATTACTCTCCAAMACAATGCACACTTCTAAAATTTGTCCAAAGTTCGGCAATCCACTTGTACTCCCAGTAGAGAGAATCATTCCCTTTGAATACTTTGTTCCGTTCAGAAAGATGTGAGGGGTCAGTCCTACTGTGTCAACACTGCTGAACTTATTCAAGATGGCTTGTCTGATGGCAGCATCTAAAACTTCAAGGCACATATCAGACACCTTTGCTGTCTCCATTTCAGGCTTAAAGTCTCGGCATTGCAAAGTAATGTGCCAACATAAGTTGATGTCTTGTAGCAAGTGTAAGCAGAATGTTTTWAAAGTTGTTAGCATCTCGCACAGCCTTCTTAAAGAAATAATGTTTTGTCTCAAATCTGATTGTCCAACACAGTTGGAGGTCCAAACTTTTGAATAAGATATGGATAATGTTCAAAAAAGTGATGCTTGGGACACAACTTTTTTTCTGGGAAAACTGTCTGCAGCAACTGTCTGTGGTCTGATATTTTTGCCTGTAAATAACAAAGTGAGTCTGAAGTGAAATATGAGGTTGACAATAGCTCCACCAAGTCTCTGAGCTCAAGGACTAATTCCCATGTTTGATCACCTTCTGGAACACGGTGACCAATGATGAGCGGAAAGAAGCGCACAAGACTCCAGTTTTCATGTCCATTACCACCTAGAGTACGATTGCGCTTAAAAGTTGATGGAATCTTCTGAGGCCGGTTTGTCTTGTCAGAAAACTTAAAAGGAAAGCCTTGAATTTCGTTATTAAGCTCATCCAATGTGAAATAGTTCTTTAAAATCAAATCTGTAAGKYACAGAYYTAGTTCAATGGKTACAATGCCTTCCAGCACATCATGTAAAAAATCAGGTGGAAAACCTTGGCATGCATGAAAACCAGTCAATCTGTTAAGTGGACATTCTCGTTTCACACCATCAACAGAYGCAAGTTCACTMTGGTTCAASAAATTTACAGCTTCATCATACAAAGCTGATGTCCGTAAAACAAACTTTCCACTTCTGACATCACAAGTCTGTATTTCTTCACGATTACACAAACAAAACCTACAAAATTTTCCACATTAAAAGACTCTTGGAATCCACCTAGGGAGTGTGCAGCCATGTTGTCTGCAGCAACATACAAAATGGTCCCTTTTACATCGTTACACCGTCGGAAACTAGTCCTCAGCACTGTTTCATTACAATCAAGTTTATCTACAAACACACCAACTGTTTCTAGACACTGAATATCTTTTATCAGTGGCTCTAAAACATCATCATATCGATAAGTCTTGGCATGTTCAGTCTTGCACAATAAAGCCAGGTAGATTGACGGCAGTGATGATTTGTATCTTCTTGGCAAATTGGCAAGAATCCAATACACAGCACACACTTTGTGTTTATTTCTGGAGGTGCCAATGGGGTTACAAACTTCAAAATCATCAATGTTCAAAGTTATGCACAAACTAACATCTTCATGTGAGAGAATTTGATTTCTTTTAAAGTAGTCACCATCTAGACATGACTTGTACTGCCCAGATTGTTCAGATCTGTTTACTCTCAATTCATTTAGTACCTCGTCTCTCTTTAGAATTACAGAAAGTAATGTTAGAATCGGGACATACACAACAGTATGATATTTTTTGTGTCTATTCAAAACGTATTCAACAGGCTCAATGACAGTAAAGTTCAGTCTATAAAATGACTGTCTTTTAAATTCTGTGCCTAAAGGCCCCTCTCTTGAAAGTAAAGTGAGTGGGTTTGCACTCTCTAAAGCTTCAGTCAAATATGCTGTTAAGTCGTCTGATGAGCAATTATGTGCTTTCGAAATATTTTCAATTATGTGCCGAGTTATTTGTCCGGAACATTCACCAACATCAAATAACTCATCAACAATTTCTTGAATTGCTGATTGTGACACATGAAGGACTGTTTGCAGGTGAAGTAATAGGGATGCTGTCTACAGTCAAACTCAGAATACAGTTCAATATGCAATCACTGCTGGAGGTAGTTTCCTCTCTTTAAACAGTGAAATTTCATTCGTCACCGGCCACCATTAATTAGACGCACGTGCGCACAAACATGTGAAACAAAGGACACGACAAATTCCTGACGCACAGCCTCTCCCGAAGCGTAACTCGCTTGCAATCAGCACTGGTTCCATGCAAAACTTTGACCTAGTGCCACATATGTGCTTCTGAAGAAGTTTATGATACAAAAATTGTGGTAGCTTCTTGTATTTCCTCTTAAGAACAGTTCAATAGAACAGCGCAACTGAGTGGTATACTGTGTGCTCAGCTACAGCGGGTAAAATAAGTATTGAACACGTCACCATTGTTCTCAGGAAATATATTACTAGAGGTGCTAATGATATGAAATTTTGACCAGATGTTGGTAACAACCCAAGTGATCCATACATACAAAGAAATCAACCATAAATGTCCAGAAATTAAGTTATTTGTAATAATGTGGAATGACACTGGGAAAAAGTATTGAACACGTGAAGAAAGGGAGGTGTAAAAAGGCATGGAAAGCCAAGACACCTGCTGAACTCTCTCAGTAATTAAAAAGCAAGCCTGCCCCTTGTCAGTGCAAATTAATATCAGCTGGTTCAGTCCCAAATGATGGCCAGGTATCACACAAGAACCATCTGATGATGGGTAAAAGTAAAGAGCTCTCTCAAGACCTTCACAACCTTACTGTTGCAAAGCATAATGATGGCATCGGTTACAGAAGAATGTCTAAACATCTGAAGGTTCCAGTGAGCACTGTTGGGGCCATAATTCGGAAGTGGAAAGAACATTATTTCACCATAAACCGACCACGACCAGGTGCTCCTCRCAAGATTTCTGACAGAGGAGTGAAAAGAATTATCAGAAGAGTTGTCCAAGAGCCAAGGACCACTTGTGGAGAGCTTCAGAAAGACCTGGAATTAGCAGGTACGTTTGTTTCAAAGAAAACAATAAGTAATGCACTGAACCACCATGGCCTGTATGCACGCTCACCACGCAAGACTCCACTGCTGAAGAAACAGCATGTTGAAGCTCATTTAAAGTTTGCTGCACAACATTTAAACAAGGTTGTGAAATACTGGGAGAATATAGTCTGGTCAGATGAGACCAACATTGAACTGTTTGGATGCCAGAATACACATCATGTTTGGAGGTCAAATGGCACTGCACATCAGCCCAAAAACACCATACCAACAGTGAAGTTTGGAGGTGGGAACATAATGTTTGGGGTTGTTTTTCAGCATATGGTACTGGCAAAATTCAAATAATTGAAGGAAGGATGAGTGGAAAAATGTACAGAGACATTCTTGATAAAAATCTGCTTCCATCTACCAGGATGATGAAGATGAAACGTGGCTGGACATTTCAGCAAGACAATGAGCCCAAACACAAAGCCAAGGAAACTCTCAGTTGGTTTCAGAGAAAGAAACTAAAGCTGCTGGAATGGCCCAGCCAATCACCTGACCTGAATCCAACAGAAAATCTATGGAAAGAACTAAAGATCAGAGTTCATAGAAGAGGTCCACGAAACCTTCAAGATTTGAAGACTGTTTGTGTGGAAGAATGGGCCAAAATCACACCTGAGCAATGCATGCCACTAGTTTCTCCATACAGGAGGCGTCTTCAAGCTGTCATTGACAACAAAGTCTTTTGTACAAAGTATTAGATAAATTTCAGTAAGTGTTTTCAATACTTTTTCCCTGTGCCATTCCACATTATTACAAATAACTTCATTTCTGGACATTTATGGTTTGATTTCTTTGTATGTATGGATCATTTGGGTTGTTATTGACATCTGGTGAAAATTGTATTTCATTAACACCTCTAGTAATATATTTACTGAGAAAAATGGTGATGTGTTCAATACTTATTTTAACCGCTGTAAGTTAATGTGCAATAACTCCTTCCCTCACTTGGCAATTAACAAGCTGTTGTTTTAATGTCCTGTGTTTAAACATGTAACAGAGACGCAACTTTAGCTCTATAACCTATTTTTAAAATGGACCACGTTACAAAAACAATTTAAAAAACGACAAAAGTTACTTACCTTACTTGTACGGCGCCGTCTCACCTCACTTCGGTTCGGTTCGCATTCACAAAATGCCTGACACCCGCCAAACTTTATGCTTCCGAGACAGATCGAGGTCTTGTTGGAAAAAATGTATTCATCCGCGACTTTGCTTTCAACGTCTTTAATCTGGTCAGGTGGTGTTCCTCTTCTTCATTTAATAGCTGTAACTGGAATGGAGAACTTTATAAAGTCTAACTAAATCTTAACTTTAGTCCCTTATTGGATAAAAGCAAATTCCCAGCACTATTTGTAGCGCGCATTAATATTGCCAGTGATGATCAGTTTTCATAAGATCGGTTACAATTTTAAAACTCAGATTATTAAGTTATGTTCACACATTTAAATTCCACTGAACTGACTCACTTCCTTGAGTTGTGTTATGGCAATATTTATTTAGTTGAAATGCGAATAACTCATGAAATTAAGTTGAAATTTCATAACTTTTTTATGTTAATTGGAAGTAACTTATAGAAAAATGTTATGATAACTAATTGAGGGCAAGACTTTTAACAGTGTGCCTACTATATTTATTTTTATTTATTTATTTTTTTCTGTCATTTTCTCATGCACACATCACAACAGGTTTCCCACTACAATCAGAGTGCACGTAATGTCACTTCTCGGTGCCATTTAGTCGCACCTCACCTCTTTTCTTTAACCCCCCTGTCACTCTATTATGCTGTTTTCCTCAGTGTAGTACAACCTGATGCTACATGCACCTGGGATGTTAGGGGGATAATCAAAACATATGATAACATCTGCACAACACTGGAAGATGCTTCGAGATAGGGCTGGGAATTACAACCCTACAAGATCACCACACACACACACACACACACACACACACACACACACACACACACACACACACACACACACACACA